TTTGGTTTTTTTTTTTTTTTTTTTTTTTTTTTTTTGTGGTTGGACTTGATGATTTCGGAGGTCCCTTCCAACCACTAAGATTCTGTGATTCTGTGATGAGTGTGTTATTTATTTTTCCGTCTAAACCCTAATAAAGCCATCAAGCAGAAGCAGTAGATAAGCAAATATGCGTCTGTGTCCCAAGGGAGCCATTGGGAAGACTTTCATTCCTTCCACGGCCTTCTCTGGTTTGCCTTGGTATGTTTTCAAAGTTGTTACCACTTCATGACATCATTGTTTTTCAAAGGATATTACAGAGCAATTATTAAGCAATAGGAATGAAAGCAAGAGCTAACAAGTATTAACCCCTTGGAGTGGTGAATGCACAGGTTGAATTGTTCAAGAACAGCTCTTTAGGAGTTGATGTTGGTGGATGTATGTCATTTGGCTCTTCTTGTCCTAAAGAGCGGAGCCATCCTTTCTTTTTTACATAATTGCTGAAAATTACACCATTTGGTCTGTTAATAGGGTGGCCAACTATTGCTTCCAAATTTTGGAAAGCTCCTTATTGCCTTAACTGTTTATGGTTATCGCTGTGGCACCACATGCAACGAGTACTATGTTTTTAAACAGTTCCCCATTACCATTCCTGTTTGTCAGCTGCTGATTTGGCTCAGGGATATTTTCCTCCTTGCAAAGCTGCTTCCCTGGATCAGGGTGTTGTCCTCCAGAGGTCTGAGCTGTGTCCCACACCTCCCTCTCTCTAAAGCAGTGGGACAGGTCGCCAGAAGCTAATCAGCTGCTTCAGTGCAAATTGGGGTCCCCACACGTTACCTGGTATCTCAGGACGTTGCTTGTGAAACCTGCACATGCTGGAACCTGACACGCTGAGAACACTCAAAGGTTTTTTCTTCCCTGGGTTTTCCTGTGAATTTACACCATAGCCCTTAACTGGCACCTTTTTTACTGCTGCCACGTTCTCAAGACTACTTTGGCACCATAGAAATCACAGATATTATTTTTTTATAGACACACATCCAGCTCAATGTCTCCAGCTTGCCAGTTCAGCAGGAAGAGCTGCCAAGTTCAAAATCAGGCACAGTGTCTGGGCAAATGTCTGAGGTGGCCAGTGCCTACCCGATGCCACCTTTCATTAATCCACATAAAGCTTTCTGTAGGTGCTGCTGTCCTTTTGCTGTGCTCCTATAGCTTGTTAGTTCCTGCTGAAAGGCTTCATGCCCACCTTTAATCTTGTCACAGCATCAGTGTCCTTCCATAGGAAGAGACACCCAAACTGTGCAAAATCCCCCTGTAGAGCCCAAAAAGCTTTCTAGGGGAGCCACATGTTCCTGGTTCTAAGCCCTGCCCTGGCTATTATGGAAGCTGATGGGACCTTTGCATTTTACCTGCCCACCCCACATCCAGAAAGCTAAAGCCTTGCTGTTTACGGAGCTGATCATACTGCAAACCCTCACCATTCCATGCAGTAGAATCAGCTCTTATTGCCCTTAAACCTTCAGCCTAAAGAAATTTAAGATCATCAGAGGGATGGAGCACCTCTCCTATGAGGACAGGCTGAGAGAGCTGGGGTTGTTCAGCCTGGAGAAGAGAAGGCTCCAGGGACACCTTATAGAAGCCTTCCAATATCTGAAGGGAGCTACAGGAGAGATGGAGAGGGACTTATTGTCAGGAAGTGTAGTGATAGGACAAGGGGTAACAGTTATAAATTGGAGGAGGGGAGATTTAGGTTAGATATTAGGAAGAAATTCTTTGCTGTGAGGGTGGTAAGACACAGGCACAGGTTGACCAAGGAAGTTGTGGATGCCCCATCCCTGGAGGTGTTCAAGACCAGGCTGGATGGGGCTTTGAGCAACCTGGTCTAGTGGGAGGTGTCCCTGCCCAGGGCAGGGGGATTGGAACTGGATGATCTTTAAGGTCCCTTCCAACCCAAACTATTCTATGATTCTATGAAACAACAAGCAGCTGATATCTCAGTTTTGCTAATTTGGCACTTTCTTCCAGAGGAGGGTTTCCCCTTTATACTCCTCTCAGTTCTTGGCTTGCTTCGTTTCTGTATCTGAGCAGTAAATATTCCCATCCTAGATAGTGAAAGGTCATCAGGCTTGTTGCCCTCGATTAATGATTTATGGCAATTGCTTACCTATCCAGTGCTGTCATTTTTGTTCTAATCTCACCGTTAAACCCTGCTTAGCGAGTCCGGCCAAGCCTGTAGCATTTGCCCTGCTCTTGGCCGTGCAGCAGAGCCGTGATGCTGAGGTGATGGCAGGGAATTGTGTGGGATTTGCCGGGATGGTGCCGACGGGCGCCGCCGGAGGCTGACAGATACCTGTGGTGGTGGAGGCGGCTGGGAGAATGACTGACAGGATGATTGACACCCCACTCTGAGCCACCTAGGCAACAGCCTACGGCGACTCTTGCAGCTGATGGAAGGTTTTCTGAGGGGAATGGCCAATTTAAGGTGGAAAGCTTGTCTTTCAGGGCCACACGCTGGCCTGAGTTGACCTGCAGCTGCGTGACTGGGAGAACTTAACTGGGAAGGTGCTCTGAATGCCCATGCCTAGGACGTTTTATAAGGCAGACCAAGGCTGTGTGATCACCTCACAGCCATAATGCAGGCTGTGGACAGCTATAAGGCTCAGGAACCCTTTTTTTAAGCCTACCCACTATAATTTGCAACCACAGTGGATGCCCTCCCCCTCCTGCAATGGTTTCACCTCCTCACACCAGCAAACTTGGAGGTGACTAGGAGGAATTACTGGTATTTGTAGTATAATGTGGATACCTTCTGCGCCTTCAGGTGTGTGGAAGGTCCCAGGGGTGATGTCCATGGTTGGGTGGTGGGTCCATGGCTCTGGTGGGAGGTGGGCAGTACTGGTGTGTGCTGGGGGCAGAAAATGTGTGTGTCTGTGTGCTAACGCTGCTGCTCAGCACAGAGCAGCTCTGCCCTCTGCTCAGGGTGTCTGTGGTATTGGTATGTAAATATGGGGGATATTTTGTTACAGAGCATCACCCTCAGTTTCAGGTATTTGCCTGTCATGCAAAAAAGAAAGAAAAGGCAATTTTAAAAATAACAGCCTGTGCCAAATGCAGGGCTGATGTGCATATCTGGACAGGGCTATGAGCATCCAAATCCTTCCTAAATCCCAGTTCAGCCCCCTCTTATCACCCCCATGATCCTTCCACGCACTCCTGGGCTGAGCCACTGCTCTGAGCTGGAGGCTGTTTGCATCGACATGGAAATCTAACATCAACATGGAAATACTGCATGTATCGACAGGTAAACATTATTAACATGTAAATATTAGGAATATTCTGCTACAGGGTACCCGTACCACTCACCCAGGTTTGCATGGACATGCAAAGAACAGGAAACAGCCTTCAAAAGACAGCTGCTTCTGAGTAACAAATGTATAACTTGCATCAGATTATTAAAAGAAAATGGAGATGTTGCGGTTGCAGTGAGTTAATACACCATGTACAATTGCATTAAATGTGCTCAAGTCTATTTATCAGCACACAAATTCACAGGATGAGTCTTTGAGGCTTTTTTATGGTTAAAATTATGATTCCACTGGTAAAAGTCTGATCTCAGCATAGATCCTTACTGAAGGTTTCCCACTTGAGCCCAATTCTCGCTGAGTACCCGGACAATTGGGGTGATGACCGCTGTTGGATTTGGGGTGTTCCTCAGTGTTTTTTCATGTATTGCTGGCAACAGTGGTTTGACCATACAAATCCACGGTACCCTGATCCTGTAGATGGGTGGCTCATGAACGGTGGTGCGACTGCTGTGCTCAGTATCTGAGGTATCTTGCTTTCTTCCCCAGAGCAGAGGTGGAGAGCAGGAACTACCGCAGGACAGCCGCAGCGAAAGGAATCCCCTTAGACCAGCGGGATGAAGACTGGGAACTCAAGAAAGAAGAGCTTGAGAGAAATCCACCATGTTCTTGGGAAAAATACACACCCTCTGCTCGAAAGAAAAATAAAAAAAGAGGGAGGAAGCAGTAGTGTGCCCGGAGTATTTGGTGCCACTGAGAACTCGCAATGCAGAGCAAAGACACTGGCAGACCTCGGGTGCATCTGCAGGGTGAAATATGGACGCCCAGGAGAAGCAGATAGACACACGAAGGCATTTTGTGATGTACTGGAAATATTGTCATTAATCGGGAGCAGGTAGAAATGCTTCTGTCTGTCTGCATGTCTATGCGTAATCAGATCTCAAATATCAGAAAACTGCAAAAGTAGTTTAAATATGCTAATGATCTAATTCACTGAAATGTATAAATTTACAAAAATGACATCAATTACCCATATGATCTGAGAAGGAAATGGTTTTGCACCTAATTGATTCATGAAAGCATCCAGGACCGTGGTTCTGTTCACTCTGGTGACGTCTGTGGCTTTTTCTTGTCTGCTTCTGGTCCTGAGCCAACCAGGGGGCTCTATAGAGGTTTGTAGCCTCTGGTGGTGCCTCTCTCTTTTCGTCGGGACTGGGGTGTAGTGGCTTCTTCTGGCTGAACGGGAAATGTTGATGTTGACCTTTTACTGGACACATGGGTCTAAACAGCCTGTATCTACCACTCCTGGCCCAGCAGAAGGAAAAACGTGCTCCCTCGTTGCTGCTTTCAGACATCTGTGACTGCCAAGACAGACAGAGCACTGCCTTATTTTTAGCAGTGCCCCCAGTCACTTCTATGTCTATGCTCATTGGAATGTTGTGGAACTGGTCCTGAGAGATCCCTCTGCTCATCAATCCCATCTGCTTTCCATGGCAAAAGCATTTTTAACTCTTTCACTTCTCAACCATAAAAAAATTGAACTTGACCCAAAGCAGTTTTCCATACCATGCCAGCATTGAGCACACACCCATATTGCCTTCTGACATCTTTTATGTGTCTCCCTCCTTTCCCCTCTGCTTCCCCTCCACCACCCAAACCTGGTTCTTCTGGAGTACCTTGATTACAGGTGTCCTTCACAACCAGCCACAACACTCAGTCATTGCAATCGCAACCAACAAAGCTTTGACCCATCTCCCTCTTCTAGGTTTCCAGGGACTAATTCAGCTGTCTACACAGAGGTGTCTAATGCCACCTGAGATGCTCTCAAGTACCCAGGCTGACCCTTGCAGGCATCCAGAAGATACTGTACTGTAGCTCCCAACACTGTGCAGATGTCTCACATACCATACAACTTCTCAGGTGACTCGAAATGCCCGTGGTCAGAAACGAGTCAAGCTTCAGCTTTGTCTTTAGTCATTTGCACTTTCCAAGCCATATGAAAAGGCAACACCATTCACAGTTGGCCTGGATTAGTGACAGTTCAGGTGGAGACATTTGTGGGACATAGTGCTTGTTACCATGCTGATTAATTAAATTAAATTAATTAGATTAATTTAATTAAAATAAACAGACCTGTTCCTAGCCCTGAGGTCCTCTTATAGAGTGAATTGGTGTCCATCAGGGCTGTTCCTACACCTGAGAGGACTCCCTGGAGAGCATTTTGGGTATATCTGAATTCTGCAGAACTTCAGGAAGCCTCTGAAGTTTGGGGCTCCACACCTGGCAAATGTACTTCTTCTGGGTGAGTGTTTTAAAACAAAAACAGAAACAAAAGCCGTGGAGGTGCATGAAAAATGCACACCTGGCACTTGGCATGAGGTAAGATGTTCCACTGGGCCTGAGATGGTGAAAGAAATGAACAGCTCAGGTTCTGCTCTGTTCATGCTGGAACTATTTCATATTCAGATAATCTGCTGGGGTGGGTTGACCTTGGCCAGCTTCCAGACCCCGACCCAGCCGCTCCTTCACTCTCTCTCCTAACAGGGCAGGGGTGGAAAAAAGATGGAAAAGCTCATGGCTTGAGATAAAGACAGGGAGATGGCTCACCGGTGACCGTCACAGACAAAACAGACTCGACTTGGGGGAAATCAGTTTAATTTACTGCCAGTGGAAGACAGAGTAGGACGATGAGTAACCAAGAGAGAACTAAAACACTTTACCTCCACCCACCCCTTCTCCCCACTCAATTTCAGTCGGGGAAATCCTGTTTTGGCATGATGTGGGGCAGCGAGAGAACACAAAAGGCTGGGGTGGGCAGTGGGTTCTCCACCCCACCTGTCTGCCCTGAGGCCATTCCTGCATGGCTGTTTACAAGTCAGGAGCCACCTCTGGTGACTAATTGTGATCAACATATTCAGGCATAAGTCATAAACCAATGCAAGATAGTGGTACAGCTCATGATATTCCAAAGTACACGGCCACAGCAGAAATGAATGTCAAACAAAACAGATATAAACACAGGGGTTAGTGAAGTTGTTTCAATCAGCAATTACCAAAGCATTTTTACAGAAGGTTTGCAGTCATTGTTATTCCCCTCCTGCAGGTAGCCCATGTACCAGCTCTAAGTTGCTTTCTCATTGACAATAATACAGCCCAGAGAATTATTTAAATCAAATGATAATAATAATAATAATAATAATAATAATAATAATAATTTACTTAACCCATAATAATTCATTTCAGAGGATTTTCATGAATTTTCCTTCACTTAGATGGTGAATATCTGTATTATATACACTGGCTGGAGAGTTGCATTAGAGAGTAAATTCCTTGTTTTTCATAATATCCACATTTGTAATGGGCTCCAGCTTTTATTCCATTTCCTGCCTCATGCAAACCTTGCACTTCACACAGGACAGAGTCCTTCGCAGTGTCTTTTCCAGTTGGGGATTGCTGAAAATTAAAACAAGGGAATGAAATGTTGGAAGAACAGACTGAAATAATACAATGATAGTGTCCACAAGTTTTACTGACTTGGTGGCATAAATCAGCATCAAGATCAAACATGTAAAGTTAATGCTGTAAAGGACGAAAAAGGACAGAATAGATTTTATGGCTTTGACATGGGCATCCGTGCTGATGTTCTTCTTTGAGTCTGTCTGCATCTTGCATTTGTGTCTCCAGAGAGAAAAGAGGAGGAGAAGAGCAGAAGAGATTACTGCTATGAATGTGGTGGCACATACAAAGCCGTTGATAAAAATAACAATGATCAAATGTTCATCCTTTCTGACATCCAGTTTCCAGACATTTCCTTGGGCAGTGGAATTACACTTGTTACCGGACACTGCATCAACGATATCATATGCAAGGAAGCCAATGACCAGGGATAAAAGCACTGAACCCAACAACAGCCACGGCCCTGTCTGCCCTGAGGCCATTCCTGCATGGCTGTTTACAAGTCAGGAGCCACCTCTGGTGACTAATAGTGATCAACATATTCAGGCATAAGTCATAAACCAATGCAAGATAATGGTACAGCTCATGATATTCCAAAGTACACGGCCACAGCAGAAATGAATGTCAAACAAAACAGATATAAACACAGGGGTTAGTGAAGTCGTTTCAATCAGCAATTACCAAAGCATTTTTACAGAAGGTTTGCAGTCATTGTTATTCCCCTCCTGCAGGTAGCCCATGTACCAGCTCTAAGTTGCTTTCTCATTGACAATAATACAGCCCAGAGAATTATTTAAATCAAATGATAATAATAATAATAATAATAATAATAATAATAATAATTTACTTAACCCATAATAATTCATTTCAGAGGATTTTCATGAATTTTCCTTCACTTAGATGGTGAATATCTGTATTATATACACTGGCTGGAGAGTTGCATTAGAGAGTAAATTCCTTGTTTTTCATAATATCCACATTTGTAATGGGCTCCAGCTTTTATTCCATTTCCTGCCTCATGCAAACCTTGCACTTCACACAGGACAGAGTCCTTCGCAGTGTCTTTTCCAGTTGGGGATTGCTGAAAATTAAAACAAGGGAATGAAATGTTGGAAGAACAGACTGAAATAATACAATGATAGTGTCCACAAGTTTTACTGACTTGGTGGCATAAATCAGCATCAAGATCAAACATGTAAAGTTAATGCTGTAAAGGACGAAAAAGGACAGAATAGATTTTATGGCTTTGACATGGGCATCCGTGCTGATGTTCTTCTTTGAGTCTGTCTGCATCTTGCATTTGTGTCTCCAGAGAGAAAAGAGGAGGAGAAGAGCAGAAGAGATTACTGCTATGAATGTGGTGGCATATACGAAGCCGTTGATAAAAAGAACAATGATCAAATGTTCATCCTTTCTGACATCCAGTTTCCAGACATTTCCTTGGGCAGTGGAATTACACTTGTTACCGGACACTGCATCAACGATATCATAGGCAAGAATGCCAATGACCAGGGATAAAAGCACTGAACCCAACAACAGCCACGGCACGGTCTTGTCGATTTTTCCTTTCAGATAGATGAAAAAGGTGTGCCTGAAATTTGCAATTTTTACACAATAAAAAATGCAAAGACAGGCAGAAACACACAAGTTAGATAAACTTAAAGAGCTGTTAAAAGCTGAAAATAGTTGGGGTAAAGGGTATACAAAAAGGTGCCAGGGATAATATATTGAAAGTAAGAAATAAACCCATGAAATGCACAAATACCAAAACCTGCAGCATCCCAAAAACAGCAAGATCTTCTCATTAGAGCTAAAGCTTTTCTTTTTCACCCAAGCAATGCAAAGCACAGAAGCGATGAAAGCATTTATCCACATGCCAGCAAACGCCTGAAGTGAGATGATGGCCATAGTCATGGCATTGTATGAAGTGTCATTTAACCGGTCTCGAGAGTAACAAGCTTTCATCCTCCAAGCTGGGTAGTGGTGCTGGGGCAGAAAAGCAGGTTCTTGCACCAATGCTTCGGGCAGGTTGGCAGCTGCCGTTTCCAGAATGTCACGAGTGGAATGGGAGATTTATAGAGCTGGTGGTGGTGGGGCTGTGGTGTTGCTCCTGTTCAGGCAGGGCAGATGCAGGAATGGAAATGTGCTGGGCTATTCCCTTACCTGGTGTCGGTGTCTGTCTCCAATATTTGAATTTCCGTTTCCAGAATGTCACGAGTGGAATGGGAGATTTATAGAGCTGGTGGTGGTGGGGCTGTGGTGTTGCTCCTGTTCAGGCAGGGCAGATGCAGGAATGGAAATGTGCTGGGCTATTCCCTTACCTGGTGTCGGTGTCTGTCTCCAATATTTGAATTTCATGTCAGAAGGGCTGTGTTGAGTGACATTAGCAAAGTAGGTGCTTTTCTGCAGTGGGAAATGTTGTGATTTGTGACTGCTGTATGTTTGGTTGCTCTCAGGATTCATGATCTGGGTTCTCCGGTCCCGTTGCCTCCTACAATGCTCACGTGGCAGGGTGCTCTCAGTGGTGCAGCCACTGTCCTCTTTTGCTGCAGAGTCCAGGAGCTACAAAATTCAACCAAGAGATGCTGGCAACCAGAGGGCATCTCCTTTGAGGGCATCTCCTTATGCTTTGAGGGCACTGAAACCCATGTTAATTTTCACAGTGGTGGTGCCTTAATTGTAAGTGAACAGCCATATGGCAGGGGGAAGGTACTGAAGGATAAGCAGGACTTTCTTTTAAATTGAAGCATATAGAGGAAAAGGCAAACATAACCATGAGTCCCTGAGCCAGGGTTCAAACTCATGTGCTCAGTCTTGCGTGGGCTGTGAGTTTTTGAGGGATGATGTTGCATGGGATGTAGGGAGTAAGATGGATTTTTCACGGTCTTTTTGTGAAAGGAACTGGGACTGTCATGCTAAAGGATCAACTGCACCGAGCAATGGCAGGGAAAGAAGGGAAGTGTGGTGATGCCTGTCCTTTAAAGGCCTGTCAGCAGGGAAGTTGTGATCACATGAGATGTTTAAGATCTGCCTCCACTAGGACACGGGATGGTGCAGTGTCTCCTGCTGTGGAAATGGGACTCAGTGGAGCCTGGCATCTGATCTAAAAAGTGCAATTGCAGCTAAAAGCAAAAAGTTAAACACAATGTGCTCTGAGTGTCTTATTTTGATTGGATGACTCAAATCCTTCCTTTTAAGTGAAATAACATGAACGTAATTTTTTTGCGTTACTACTGCGGGAAAGGCCAGAAAAGAGTGAAAGTGGATGGTTTAATTTTTGCCAGGATGGAGAAGACAAGGGAAAGGAGTACACTTTTGCCCATGGAAAAGGGAACCCTAAAAATAGAAAAACTACAAAATAAGTTTTTTGGCCTTCACTTCAACTTTTCAAATTAGCATCCTGGAGCTGCTCAAGCTCTCTGAGCAGAAACTCTTCCTCTGTGTTGATTTCTAATAGAGAGCACATAGAAATTAGTGAGTCCTTCACACTGTTGTCCTAAAAAATAACCACATCTCCTTTATTGGGGGAAAAGAAGGTCTGAGAAACCTTCTGTTAGCAGCAATACATAGAAGGTTGTTCTCGAAAAGACATCAAAGAGAATGCTCAAGGAGTGATTATAGAGTGAATAAGGGTCCATCAGGGCTGTTCCTACACCTGAGAGGACTCCCTGGAGAGTATTTTGGGTATATCTGAATTCTGTAGAACTTCAGGAAGCCTCTGAAGTTTGAGGCTCCACACCTGGCAAATGTACTTCTTCTGGGTGAGTGTTTTAAAACAAAAACAGAAACAAAAGCCGTGGAGGTGCATGAAAAATGCACACCTGGCACTTGGCATGAGGTAAGATGTTCCACTGGGCCTGAGATGGTGAAAGAAATGAACAGCTCAGGTTCTGCTCTGTTCATGCTGGAACTATTTCATATTCAGATAATCTGCTGGGGTGGGTTGACCTTGGCCAGCTTCCAGACCCCGACCCAGCCGCTCCTTCACTCTCTCTCCTAACAGGGCAGGGGTGGAAAAAAGATGGAAAAGCTCATGGCTTGAGATAAAGACAGGGAGATGGCTCACCGGTGACCGTCACAGGCAAAACAGACTCAACTTGGGGGAAATCAGTTTAATTTACTGCCAGTGGAAGACAGAGTAGGACGATGAGTACCAAAGAGAGAACTAAAACACCTTACCTCCACCCACCCCTTCTTCCCACACTCAATTTCAGTCCTTCGTTCCCAACTCCTCTACCTCCTCACCCTGGTGATGTGGTGCAGGGGGACAGGGAATGGGGGTTGTGGTCAGTTCATCACACAGTGTCTCTTCTGCTCCTTCCTCCTCATGCTCTTCCCTCGCTGCAGTGTGGGGCCTTCCCATGGGCTGGTGGTCCTTCAGGATAAGGACCATGCTCTGACATGGGCTGTCCAAGGGCTGCAGTCTTTCAAGGCATGTCCACCTTGTCCAGCATGGCATCCTTCATGGGCTGCAGGGTGGGTATCTGCTCCACCATGGTCCCTCGTGGGCTGCATGGGGAAAACCTACGTCACCGTGGTCCTCTCCACAGGCTGCAGGTGAATTCCTTCTGTGGCAGCTGGAGCACCTCCTCCCCTTCCTTCTCTGAGCCTGTTTGTTGCAGGACTATGTCTCAGAGTGTTCCTCAGCCCTCACTGCCAGGCAGTGCTTTTGTCCACTCTTAAACATATTTTCCCAGAGGAGCCACCAGCATTGCTGATGGGCCAAGCTGGGTCCCATGCTGGGTCCATTGCTGCTGTCCGGATCTGGCTTTCCCTGGAATGGGGCAGCCTTGACCTTGCCTCACAGAGACATTAATGGATCCTCCAGAGGAGAACACCTGGGATGGACACCGTGCACATCTGCCCATAGGTCACTGCTGGGTGAAAGCACGATTTTATTCCACACCACACTTGGCACCAAAAACACGTTTCTTGGTGTTCTGCTCAGCCAGAGTGCATCGGTAAGAGCAGATCTCATAAACAAGTAAGAGTAGAGCAGGAGAGCAGTTGCACAGAGTCGGGGAAATCCTGTTTTGACATGACGTGGGGCAGCAAGAGGACACAAAAATCTGGGGTGGGCAGTGGGTTCTCCACCCCACCTGTCCGCCCTGAGGCCATTCCTGCATGGCTGTTTACAAGTCAGGAGCCACCTCTGGTGACTAATAGTGATCAACATATTCAGGCATAAGTCATAAACCAATGCAAGATAATGGTACAGCTCATGATATGCATGACGTGGGGCAGTGAGAGGACACAAAAGGCTGGGGTGGGCAGTGGGTTCTCCAGCCCACCTGTCCACCCTGCGGCCATTCCTGCATGGCTGTTTACAAGTCAGGAGCCACCTCTGGTGACTAATAGTGATCAACATATTCAGGCATAAGTCATAAACCAATGCAAGATAATGGTACAGCTCATGATATTCCAAAGTACACGGCCACAGCAGAAATGAATGTCAAACAAAACAGATATAAACCATCAAATGATAATAATAATAATAATAATTTACGTAACCCGTAATAATTCATTTCAGAGGATTTTCATGAATTTTCCTTCACTTAGATGGTGAAGATAGAATATCTGTATTATATACACTGGCTGGAGAGTTGCATTAGAGAGTAAACTACTTGTTTTTCATAATATCCACATTTGTAATGGGCTCCAGCTTTTATTACATTTCCTACCTCATGCAAACCTTGCACTTCACACAAGACAGAGTCCTTCGCAGTGTCTTTTCCAGTTGGGGATTGCTGAAAATTAAAACAAGGGAATGAACAGCTGGAAAAGCGTACTGAAATACTAAAATGAGAAACGCCACAGGATTTACCTTCTTTGTGGCATAAATCATTGACAAGATCAAACATGTAAAGTTAATGCTGTAAAGGATGAAAAAGGACAGAATCGATTTTATGGCTTTGACATGGGCATCCGTGCTGATGTTCTTCCTTGAGTCTGTCTGCATCTTGCATTTGTGTCTCCAGAGAGAAAAGAGGAGGAGAAGAGCAGAAGAGATTACTGCTATGAATGTGGTGGCAAATCCAAAGCCAAAGAGAAAAAAAACAGGGAAAAAGTGTTCATCCATTCTGATATTCATTTTCCAGAAATTTCCTCTGGTGGTGGCATTGTGGTTGCTACAGAGTGCTTCATCGGTGGTACGGTAGACAAGAATGCCGATGACCAGGGATAAAAGCACTGAACCCAACAACAGCCACGGCACGGTCTTGTCAATTTTTCCTTTCAGGTAGATGAAAAAGATGTGTCTGAAATTTGCAATTTTTATACAATAAAAAATACAAAGACAGGCAGAAACACACAAGTTAGAAAAATTTAAAAAGCTTTGAATAGATGTCAATAGTTGGGGTACTGGGTGAATATAAAAGTACCGTGGATAAATTATTGAAAGTAAGGAATGCACCCATGTAATGCACAAATACCAAAACCTGCAGCATCCCAAAACCAGCAAGATCTTCTCATTAGAGCTAAAACTTTTCTTTTTCACCCAAGCAATGCAAAGCACAGAAGCGATGAAAGCATTTATCCACATGCCAGTGAACGTCTGAAGTGAGATGATGACCATAGCCATGGTATCATATGAAGTGTCATTTAACCGGTCTCGAGAGTAACAAGCTTTCATCCTCCAAGCTGGGTAGTGGTGCTGGGGCAGAAAAGCAGGTTCTTGCACCAATGCTTCGGGCAGGTTGGCAGCTGCTGTTTCCTGAGTGTCACGAGTGGAATGGGAGTTTTATAGAGCTGGTGGTGGTGGGGCTGTGGTGTTGCTCCTGTTCAGAGCAGGGCAGGTGCAGGAATGTAAATGTCGGTGTCTGTCTCCAATATTTGAATTTCATGTCAGAAGGGCTGTGTTGAGTGACACAAGCAAAGTAGGTGCTTTTCTGCAGTGGGAAATGTTGTGATTTGTGACTGCTGTATGTTTGGTTGCTCTCAGGGTTCATGATCTGGGTTCTCCGGTCCCGTTGTCTCCTACAATGCTCACGTGGCATGGTGCTCTCAGTGGTGCAGCCACTGTCCTCTTTTGCTGCAGAGTCCAGGAGCTACAATATTTGTCTGTGATTTTGAAACTGTACTTCCTATGTGTCAGGTCCAAAACTCTGTTGAAGACAGATGTAAGGATGCAATGTTTTTATATTAGTGGAAGCCTATCAGTCATTAAGTGGGGAATTATATCAACTCATGTCATTTAGTCACTAACTTAGGTGTATTATATCTTTTGATGGTTGGTGATGTTGATGGAGTGCAGCTTAGGAAGGACATTCCAGAAATAAACTCAGGTAAGTCAGGACAGTAAAGAAGCAGAGTGTTGAATTGTTACAGAGATCTAAGCTAGCCTTTGGGGACCACAAGTCTGATAGATGTGATGACACCAGAGGGGACTGGAAGCTCCCTCCTGTGAAAAAAATCCCAAATGCATCATGGATACAGTGAGTATTTCAGGGCAATTAAAAATGGGGTGGTGGGAGGGTAACCCCAGCTGTTTCTGGAAAGAAGGGAAAAGATTTTGGCTTTGGAGTCTGGTAGCAGCCATAGAAGATGGAAAGGCAGGAGGGAGCAGGGCAGAGGACAGAAGGGTCCATAAAAGGTTGGTGTTAGAAAGGAAAGATGGAATTCCAGAAGAATGATTTTATATGAAGCCCAAGATCTTTATCTTAAATTTGGATTTAAGCATTAAGTAAGATTAAGCACACTCAGGTGCTCCTGGAAAAGCCTCAGCAACCTGTGGGCTGAACCTGCATCCCTCCACACTACACTGCTCTGCAATGCAACTCACATTGGAGTGTGGCTTTAAGTCAACATATGCCTTGGCAGTGGCTCTAATTCAACTTATGCCTTGTTGATGCGTATTTATCTTAAATGAGTTGGTTGGTTTCACATGACTGATGACCAAGATATGAAGCTTAAGTAGCTTCATACCTGAGCATTGACTTGAGATAGGTTTCTTTTCCTGACATTGCCTATTATCTGCTTTATGCTCTGGTCTAAGTTTCCTCTAGTTTTGCTGACAGAACAGAAAGCATGGTGTAGGGTTGGATTTTTTCTGTTTTTGTTTGGTTTGGTTTCTACTTCTCTACATATTATGTGAGAACAACATAACTAATTACTATAGCAAAAGGTGTGAATATGAACTCTCTGTTCATATTCAGGATTGTACTTATATGAGGGCATTAAATGAAAATGTTACACTAGCAGGACCATATAGCGGCTGGGGTTTAGGCTTAGCTCTGTATGGGGAATCTGGCACCTTAAAAAAATAAGGGTATAAAATTAGAGTCTCAAATGCTGTGTTCTTAAAGCACAGAAGCTGTGAATCAGCTGCTTTAAACACAGGTGTCTGTTCTCTGTTCAAATCCAACCCCTCCGGAACCACTCTAGAAGGCAAAGTCCTCCAAACTTTATATCTACCAGTCCCTGTGGATATTTGAATACCCTTGTGCATCTCAAATGGCACCAGACATCTATTTTTTGGCAACTGGATGGACACACAGCTATAATGGCATCTGAGACATGTAGCACATATGTAGGGACTGTGGGGTAGGCATTTAGATTTAACTGCTTGAATCTGAGCTTAGTTCAGATTCAGGTGTTTGACAAGGTGGACAGAACCTCTTCCCTCTCCAGAATCCTTGTCTTTCTCCTTTGATCATATGGGAAATCCCAGATGATTACCCAGGGTTAGCTAACTAGTTAGGCTATTTGATGCCTATCCATTCCACCTATATATCAACTTCAATATTCAGAAGTCCACAGTTGTTTCAAGGTGCAAGCCTGGGAAAAAGAATAAAATCCCCTCTAAGCAGGTGTTATGAAATTGTTATGAACATTATAATTCAACCCCAAATCCTCCTTTGCTGCAGGAGAAGTGGCAAGTTATACTGTGGTGCAATGGTTACTTGTTTGCTTGTTTCTGGGCAGTTGCTGTTTAAAGTGAGGTGGGTTGGTTGATGAGACAGCCTGAGAAGTGGCATGTTGTACTGTGGCAATGGTTACTTGTTTGCTTGTTTCTGGGCAGTTGCTGTTTAAAGTGAGGTGGGTTGGTTGATGAGACAGCCTGATAATTAAATTCTGTGGTCTTTGAAAAAACACATATTGTAGTTCTTGCTACATTACTCTGGCCTAAATGGCTGTTGATCTCATTTCAGAAACAGGAAGGAAGCTTTTTGAAGGCGATATTATCTTACCAGTATGTGCTGCTGATCTAAATCAACATCAGAAAGAGTGGAGATTGGGTTTAAAATGTTAACACAAGCATGTTGATCTCATTAACAGTTGGAGAGGAATGCTCCCAAAACCAGCGCCTGCGGATGGAAATTTCCCATCCTCTATATCCTAGCTGACAGCCTGGGTAATAAAACTTTTTATTATGGTAGCACTTTATTTCTTGCATTAGATATACTCTGGTTTTGTCCCGCTCCTGGGGCTGCTTTTGTTTCATTTGCTTTTGAGTTATGCTGCATTAATGCCCCTGTTACTGCTGGCCAGACAGAGGGACACAGCTCTGCCCCAGCACACATTGTTTTCCATGTAACAGCCCCAGTCACCAGCCGGATGCTGATGAGCAGCCAATTTAATTAGTGTCAGTGTATCTGGCTGAGATCTCCAGATAATGAAGTCAGGAAATCCTAACCTCAAGAACACGCATGTTGTTCTAGTGCACCCTTCGTGCCTTATCGCTTCTTAACAGCCCCAGCTCAGCACAAGCAGAAAGGAAATGCAGATATTACATAAGTTAAGAAGTCCAGAGCATTCTCTCCACTTGTTTTTGTCTAATTTTAGGCACTATTTTAATTTTTTGAACAAATTAAGAGTCAAAACTAATAGTAAATCTGTGTTAAAATCCTATGCATCTCTCCTGTTTACTAGTCCCAAGCTCAACGTTTACAATACTTGAAATTACATAATAACATGCAGTAAAATTACCCAGCAGAACCTGAGCAATGCCTTGGATGTCCAAAAGTCTGCTTGTTTGTTTCAGCACTATCAGTTTCTCTGATAAAAGATGTTCTCTCTCCCTATGGCCTCTGCCAAAATTACTCCTGTCAGGGAATTATGCTAAAAGCTCTTTCATCCAGGCAGATATGTTTTATATATGTTCATATTTCTAGTTCATCCTTTCTACCTAGGATTATATTTATGATGTTATAAAAGCAGAACAACTGCTATCGTTGTCCTCTCCTGTGTGGTTCAGGTCTGAACATCAAAGGCATTACCCTTTGGGCTGGAGTCTTGTGTCAATTTCCAACCCCACGAAGAGGAACAGACGTACCTGAAATTTGAAAAGCTGGATAGGTGATTTTGTGTCAATGATCCACTTTGTACCACCTTGTTTGATATGATAGTTTTTCCAACTCAGGAGACATTAATTTTCATTCCTGCTTGTACAAAGGACATAAATACTTGAGCCACATTTCTGTCCCAGAGCTTATTTGTGTTGCACTGGAGATAAGAACCAATGCAAACAGACTAATCAAAGGTATTATCTTCATTTGATGTTCTCTTAATACAAGAAAACACTATTTTATTTCCATTTGCATCCTAGCTACTGAAATGAATCCCTTTCTTGGGGCTCTTTCAGGGAAAACAAGCAAATAACTTTCTCCTGGTGTCACTTAGAGGCAGGGTATGTCCCTAGTGTGTTGGGGTTAGCGTGTAGCTTCCTCCATGCTTTCAGAGGCAGGGTTGGGTTTCACTCACCAACTGTTGAAGCCAACATTCTCTAGCGCTGGGCAGGTCAGCGGGGAGGTGGTGACTCTTCCAGGCCACAAACTATCTCACCTAAAATAGAAGTCTAAAGTAGGTCTGGTGACTCACAACCCAAACGCCTGTTACTGCCCAGGGAGCATAAAGGTGCCAGGGAAGCTAACACAGCGGCAGATGCCAGCATTGTGACTGTCTAAAGTTAGGTCTGAGGACCTGCCCGTTTACTGGGAAGGACCATCGAGAAGCTGGTGACACCAGTCAGTGTCTGTGTCTGGGAATCCAGTGTAGATCTTCCCTCATGTGTGGGGGAGACTGGTGCAGTGTTTTCTGGGTTTTTTTAAACCCACAGAATTATTTCTGAATGGACATGAAAAGCTAGGATTTAAGTTGTATTTGGGAACCACACCAAGGAAGATAATGCATCCTGAGTAGACTGGAGGCTGCTCAGCGCCTCTGAAAATCGGGCCAGTTATTTAAATAATTCGGTAAAGATACACATAAACAACAGCCAATGAAGTTGTTATGAGGTTATGCATGAGGTTATAAGGTACCTGCTGCACTTTCCTGAGCTGCTCATCTTCTGCTACTTCCCTTCTTATACTGGTTGATCTGGGGCTACCCAGAGTTGAAGGGCAACAACATTTGCCATCACCACCTCCTTTACAAGGACATGCATGCACTGCCCTCTGGGGAGGGCAAAAAGGAGCAGGGCCAATCACTCCTGGGACTCATTTTCAGGCTGTGGCAGAGTGCTGAGGGTACACGTTGTTCTGTATTCTGGTGTTGCTAATCCAGCAAGACTGGAAAACACAGATGGGAAATTCTAAAAAAATATTCTTTTTTAACTTTTACCTTGGTCTTGCAGTTGAGTTGGTATGTAGATACAAGTCACAGAAGGTATTATGTAAAATGGGTGCAATATCT